GACCCGCTGTGGGTTTCCAGCACTGTCACCACTTCCAGGAGTAGAAAGCCCAGTCTTTCTCCCGAGAAACTGCTGCTAGTAGTTTCGAACTGCTGACCATGTGGATCTCGGCCCAGCGTGTAACTGCAATGCCACCAGGGCTCCCGGAGATGAGTTGAGAGGGGGAAGAAAAACAAGGCCTTGCTACTGCTGCTGAAACCTAACCATCGCCAACTGGTTGGTAAAGCCAGGGGTTTCCAGCCTCACCCATTTCCTGAGTTTCTCTCCCTGGGCTGAGTTCTGGGTTTCACTCCAGGGGGTTGAAACCCAACCAAACCTCACTGCCTTTCACTCGCTATCAAGGAGAAAGGCCTAAGAGTGAAGCCAGCCTGGCCTGGAGAATGCCTGCCTGTGGAGAGGGTACCTCCCTCCCCTCCCGGGGCACGATCCTGAGATACATCTGGAGCTCTAACGCCTGTGTCAAAAGCACAGACCCCCAGCCACCCTCAGAGGACTCACTCCCTGCATCGGCTATTTCAGCCCGTGTCATTAGGCTTTGGAGACACCCCCCCCCCACTGGAGCAGAGGCTGCAGGGCCCTGCAGTTAGGAAGGCCTATGGTGGGATTTTAAGGGGGATGGGATAGGTCCAGTCCTTACTCTGCCCAGCTCTGTTGTCTGGGTGGCATGAGGAGACCTGGCTCTTCATCCTGACGGTGTGCCCTCAGACTGACTTCTGCCCTCGCTCCTTGCCTGTTTCCCCATCTGTACAGTGAAAGGATGTCCTGGGCTTTGATATGACACTTCACATGGAAGCTCACTACCCAAAGCAGGTCACATGCAGCTGCTCTGGTTTGAAGGGTGATAAGGAGGCCAGATGCCGACACCCATGCCTCCCCTCCACCCCCATTCACAGCTCCCTGCACTTCCTGGGCATTGGTTCAATACCGCAGGTGTGGGCAGTCCCAAGGCCCTCCTGCCCCGTGATGTTAGCCAGGGAGTGAAGGAATGTCTTCTTGGCCCCTGCTCTGCTGTGCAGTTCCCAGCCCAGGGATGAGGCTGTCCTGGAACCACCCCTAAAAGGAAGGAGCCCTGAACTCCACTGACAATCCAGGAGGAAATGGAGCATGCTGGGGAGCGGGGCCGGGACAGCGGCAAGCATCACCATGGATACCACACAAGACCAGTCTTATGTCAAAGGGCACGCTCCACAAGTGGATGCTCACAAAGAGAGGGGGTTAATCTCTAAAGCCCAGCATCTCCAAGGGGAAACAAGTGCATAATCTCAGCAAATCAATCCACAAACAGGATCACCCATTGAGTACCCTACAAAGCTAGGACAGACAAAGCGGAAGGCTGCAGCTGGTCCCCTCAGAAGAAACCCAGAAGGCCCCCTGGGCCACAGGCAGCCCCCTCCCACCGCCAAGGTCAGCAGCAGTCCAGCCCCACCCCGGTACTCACTCCGCCTCTGTCGCTTCCCCTTGAGCCCCCGGCTGCCGGCAGCGAGGTGCATGGAGCTCAGAACCAGGGCCACCAGACATAGCCCAAGCCGCATAGTCACTCGCCAGCTCGGGGCCCCTGGGAAGAGGGGTGGTCTCCGGGGGTGGACGGTGGCGTAGGACTCTCGCTAACGCCTCCAGGGCTGGGTCATCAGCAGGAGGCCCAGGCCTGGGCCGGATCCCACATCCACCATAATCTCAGCTGGGGACAGAGCCGGTGTGAAGAGCCCAGCTTCCCATTAGTCCATAGGGAAGTCTGAGCCCTCAGAGGCGCTCGGGAGAGAACATGAGAGAATGCCTCGTCAGGCCAGCCGCCACCTCTGCCCCAAAAGCCGACCTGAGGGGGGAAGAGAGAGCAAGGTTAATTCTGTGGGGCCGTGGGAGTCTCGGCTTACACACCTTGCCCCCCATTGTGGCCCCCCCCCCTCTAGAGAGGATGAGAACTCACCATAATTACCTGCCTGGTGCCCCTGCGGGCTAAAATTGGCTTCTTCCCCAAACCTCCAACCTGGGGTCAGTGTGGTGGACACTTAACCCAAGACTTGTGGGTCATTGGCGAAGTCTCAATAATGAGAGCCAGCTGGCCCCATCCCTGCATGCTATGGGCCAGTTCTAACTGGAAGTCCTTCTCCAAGTCTACCCTACAGACCTCATGCTTTAGTAAAAGCCTCTCACTTTGATAGGAGCTTTTGCTGGCCTTCTCTGAGTGACCCCTCAGGCCCCTCTTCTCTTCCCAGGCTGACTCTCCCCTGTCCCTTTCACCTGTCCTGGCGCTGGAGCAGTGGGCCTGGGCAAGCGGCAGACTCTGCCCGGCCCACTGGGATTGGCAGGGGGGTTGGGGCAGGGGCTTCCCCCAGCCACAGAAACTCTGACACAGCAGGGCTGGGCGGCCGGGCCTTTGTGAGAGGACAATAGAGGCAGCGGTGCCGCCCTGGTCAGAGACACAGAGAATGGGGATAATCCCCCCCAGCCCAGCAAGAGCCAGGTCTCCCGGACCGCTGGCCGTCTGGGGACGATGGGGACAACAGGAGCTGGGCCCTCCCCTGATGAGATGTGTCTGGGGAGTGGACGACTGAGCCTTGGAGACCAGCTGAGAGTCAGAGCATGAAAACCCCATTTTGCACGCATGCAAACTGACAGGGCCACCCATGTGCCCAACACCTCCACGCACCCCCCCCACACCCGCAGAGGCTGCCCCACACGCATTCACACCTCCCACCGCTGCACGGGCACTGAGGAGGTGGCCCTATGGGGCCACAGCGAGGCTGCAAGTCTGACATGTCGGGTGGGGGGGCGCCAGTCCCAGAGCGGCTGATTCTGGCCGGCTCCTCGCTCAGACTCTCAGAGCCTCACTCGGCGTGCTGGTCCGGGAAATGAGGATACGGAGGACAACACGGGCTTCACAGATTGCTCCCAGTCGGCTCAGGAGAACCTTGAAATGCCAGAGTGTGGGCGACTGGCCCGCCCCTTCCCAATCCTTTTCCCCTCTGAGCCCACCGCCTCATCTCTCAGGCTGGCCCCAGGCAAGCCCACCTGCAAGGGAGATAAATCATTATCCCCTAGGGGAGTTCGGCACCTCCCTCCTCAGCCTCTCCCACTGGCTTTGAAGGCCTGACACGCTCAAGTGGTTAAGCTGCCTGTGAGAAGTGTTTACACGAGGCTGATGGATCCCACCTGGTGCAGCGGCTGGAGCCAGCGGAGATGCCCCCGGCTACCCCCAAACACCCCAGCAGCTGCCAGCCCCTACACACCGCTCGCTCCAGCACTCCCAGCCCAGCCCGGCCCGCCAACGCTTCCCAGCCTCCCCAGCCCCCAACACATAGTTTTATCACCCACAAACTGAATGCCCAGCCAAGTTTCTCAGCCCCAAAGGGGTCTGTCTCGAGGCGCTGTTAAGGGCATAAGATTCAGAGGCAGAGAGCGCCTGCCTGACTTTGAATGTGGGTTCTGCTAGCTACACGATCTCTGACTCCCTTATGGGGAGGCTTCATTTGGGGTGTCTATATGCCAGCGGACGGCTCAAAGCCACGTGGACATCTTCTGCATCATCTGGTTACTAACGTGAACACGGAGAGCTGGTAGGCAGCTTCCACATTTGCATTCCTCTCGGGGTTGACTGCCTGGCCCAGCCAAGCGATCACTCAAAGTGATAGTTTGCTTTTCAACGCCGAGATTTTTCAACCTGGGGTTTGGGGATCCCGGGAAGATAGCATTCTCAGCCTTTTGCTAGTCCTTGTGTTTGAACAACACTGAGGAAGTCTGGGCTCCGGTCCTGGGACCACAAGCCTGTGGCCTCACTGTGGGTCTGAGCAGTTTCCCCGGCGGCCCTTGGGGCCCGAAAGGTGTCCTAATTATCTTGTTTCCCGTGTGTCCACAGATGGCGTGGTGGCTGGTACCTCAGAATTAGTACTCAGCAGATGCTCGCCACCCCCTTCTCCCCATTCTCCCACACTCACTCAGTCCTTGCCAGCGGAGATCTGTCCTGCTCCCACAGGAATCTCCCAGAAAGCCCAATCTCAGTTGGAAAAGGGGAAGGGGGATCCAGGTCTGAATTTAACAGGAGCCAGTGGCATTGGCTTTCCTCACCTACCTCGGGGATGGGAAGATTTCCAAACACTCAAAAAGCAACAACAAAAATTAAGCCCCATGGAGAACCACGCCTGTACAAGAGCTATGGGTTCATCTCCGCTGAGGGTGGGACACTCCTGCGTATGAAAGGGGTAAATGGTGGGCGAGGGGGTCCAACTAGGAAGATCTCTAAAGTCCTGAGCCCGGGGGGCCACCTCCACCTCTCACAAGGGCTCAGGCTCAGTCGGGGTGGGGGCGCTAAGAGCCGATGGCTTTGGTTAAGTGACTGGCTTCGTCTCCAGGGCTCCCTATCGATTGCCTTAGGGTCTTGGATTATAAGGTACTCTGGGCTCATTTTCGTTACTGCACAAGGCAGCTCGGGTGGAGTAGTGGGTTAAGCATTGGGCCCTGTAACCTCAAGGTCAGCAGTTCGAAAGCACCAGCCCCTCTTCGGGAGAAAGATGAAGCTCTGTACTCCCCTAAAGAGTTACAGTCTTGGAAACCCAGAGGGTCACCATAGTTGCCATCAACTTGATGGCAGTGTTTGGTGACTGCTCAGATGGGGTCAGGACAGGACTGCTGACAGGGCTGAAGAACTCAGCAGGCATCAGGTGCCTCACCCCCACTGCCAACTTATTCCTCCCCACTCTAGGGGAAAAGGTAGTGAGGCCCATTTTAGAGGGAGAAAGCTGGCACCGGAGGCCAAGGACCTGGGTGACAGACGTGGCCAGTGGGTTTGCTCCCAGGGCTGGGTGTCTGGAGGATTCGGGCCTGGCCGGCTTTAGCGAGAGGACCTGTGGAGGGTGGGAAGCAGAAGCAGACTGAGGAGGTGGGAGGGAAGCGCAGGAAGGGTGGGACCCAGCTGGTGGTGAAGCCGGGGGCGGGACTGCAGTGCCAACAACAGGCTGCGTAACCTTCACCTTCTGACCCGCAAACGATCGGGATAAATTGGTATTCCGTCCCTGGCCCGATACGGACCCGAAATGGAAACCATCTCGATCATTTCTCAGGAGCTCTTCTGCCGGCCTCCGAGCGGGGCGGGCAGGGGCAGAATTGCTGGGAAGGGGGCGGGATCGAGTAGGCGCCCGCCTGACCCGTCCGGATTAGCTTGTCCGCCGGAGCCGAGCCAGGTGTTGGGCCGCCTCCACCCCCAACACCACGGGCCGCGCGAAGGCGCCTTCACTCCCTGCGTCACGGCCCAGAGCGCCCAAATTCTTCCCTCCTCGTGGCTCCTGGAGGCCCAACAGGTGCCTGGGGAGGGGAGGTGGACCTGAAACCCGGCCCCCTCCTGTGTCCTTCAGGATCCCAGCGAACTCCCCAAATCATGACTGGACTCCTAGCCCCAAGCGCCCACACCCAGTATCCGTCCTTGCCCTCCAGGATTGGTCTGGGAGCGCCCGGCCAGCGCTGCCCTCTACTTCTCTTCACTCAAGCAGCTCCTGGGGTTCCCCAGCGCCCCGACCCGCCGGCCAGGGCGCCGCGCCACCTCGCCCGCGCCCCAGGGCCGCCTCCTGCCACGTCGGGCCCGGGCTGGGGTCGGGGCACCAGGGGCGGTGGGACACCGGAGAACCGGAGATGGGGCAGAGGGGGCGGCGGTGGGGGGGCCGGGATCACCAACTTGTGGGATGGGAGAGGGTGGGTAAGGGCTGGCGGACTTGGGAAAGTCAGAACTCTGGGCGAGCGGGCGAGCGGGGACATTGCCCGGAGCTGCGGGGTGGGGACCCCAGGGTAGCCAAAGGGAGGGGGCTGCCCGCTGGCTTGAGGGCTGGGGGTTAAGAGGGGGGGTGGCGCCGGGACCTCCAGCATGCCCCCACCCCCAGGTGCCCTCTCCAGCCTTCGCCGCCCGGAGAGCAGCCGGACTACCCTTCCTTTCGCGGGTTCCCCTGCACCCCGCTCGGCTAAGCCCCGACGGGAGGGCCTGCGGCACCCTAGGGCCCGGGCAGGGGTCGCCAGGGAGGAGGACGGGGCAGTGAAGAGGGGACTCACCTCTGCGCTGCCAGCCGCGGCGGGGGCCGGCCCGGGAGGGGCGAGGGCGCGGCCCGCTCACCCGCCCGCCGCCGCACTGTCCGGGGCGCCCGGCTCGCCTGCGCTCCGCCCGCCCGGTCCCAAGTTGCTCAATCTGCGGGTGGCTCACGCCCTCCGGGGCCGGCGCCCCACCCAGCGCATCGGTCCCCCGGGGCGGCGGGGTCGGCCCTGGCTCTCCGTAGCACGCCGGGCGCCGCGTCCCACTCCGGCCGTCCGGGCCCGGCTCTCCGCCCGCCTCTCCGGGCTCTCCGTCGCGCCTCCGCTGGGCTGGAGCTCGCCGCCAGGAGAGCGGCCAGTCCACTGCTCGCACGAGGGAGGGAATCCCCCCCACCCTTTCCAGTCCCACCCCCGAGCCGGCCCCCCTTCCCGGGATCCGCAGCAAAAAACGGACTGGAGCGCCGGGCCCGGGAGTCCGCAGCCCCCTCCCGCACGCCTGTGCCCGCGGCCGGGGCGCCGCACTCCGAGAGGCCGGCAGGCCGCTGGACACGGCCCTGGCCGCGGGCGCAGGCCCGCTTTCCTGTCTCCGCACTCCAGGAGTTTGGCCCGCACATCTTGGGATCAGAAGCGGGCCGAGGGCCCTCGGGAAACCTCAGTTTCCCCGTCAGGAGCCTGGGGAGCAACAAGGCGGGGACTCAGTCGGACCCTGGAGGTCCCAGCCACACCCTCCTCCCCTTCTGGGTCTTCTTCCTAACCCTCCCAGCACTGAGG